GGGGGCCTAGGCAAGGGGGGTCCCGACAACGCTCTACGCTGAATTCGGAAATTTCACGATTACGCTTTACGATTAATTCCAAGTGGCCACAACGCATTACATAGAATTAAAACGGCGAATACCCTTTACGCAAAATGCGCCAATTACGCTCTACATTAAATTAGAGCGGTCCGTCTACGCTCTACGTAGAATTTAAACTGCTGATGACGCTCTACGGAAAAAGGCTTGCGGGCCCCCAGTAATGACAACAGAATGGAAAAGATGTAACCACCACTTCCTCTGTGCCACTTGAGTGTCCACCTCACATCACGCAATGTCAGGTAATGACGTCATTACCCGAGCCCTCTCCCCCCCACGGTTGTCACCCTCTGTCACCCGCTTTTCTCACACGTCGTTACTCAGCTCTGTGATCACCTTCAGGGTACAAAATTCACGACCGGTCTGACAGAAAAAGTAAACAGCATTCCCTGGAGCACCGCTGACATTTTGTTTCAACACCGTTAAAGCCTTTCCCACAAATCCCTCAGTCCGACGTGCTGAGCTGAAAGCTTTTTACGTGCATCACTGCTTTGTGGGGACAGTTGAACTTCTGAGCTTAAGGCTCCCCTGACAATTGTTAGTTGTACTTGTGCCGCTTTGATTCATTTGGATCCATTATAGTCTGTGCAATTATAGAAAGTAGGAAAGAATCCATTTATATAGCTCGAACAGATCAACTGAAATACAATCACGTTGCAACATGTTGAGCTCAAAGGAGTGAATTTTCCCTGAAGAAACAAGTTGAAACTGGAAGCACCTGTTGGTTATTTTTTCCTAGACTGTCATATCTTCATGACATTGTAGAGAGTTAGAAGACTATATGATAGCTGTTCCATGTGACCAAATGAACATCCTGCAGCTACAACAGGTGTACCGATGTTATACCCTTGTCTCTACACCAATATCTCTATCTGTTAGATGACAACTTATCCACCATTACTGAGTCTGAAGCTTCCGTAAGTTTGTTTGCATGGACATACATGTACTACAGCTAGCTCCAGACAAGCACATCGGCATTTGCCTGCACAAAACCCTGATTTTTCATGGTTTTCGTTGGATGTTTGGTCACCGCGGCATTAGAATTTTGCCTGTTGCAGAGGATATCTTTTTCAACAAAACATTAATTTGGAAACTACAGGGGGGTTGTTAAAGGGACGCAAGAGGTTCATTGTGAAGGTACGTGTGTGGCGGCGGCCAATTTGTGAACGCTAGGCACTAGCCCTAGCTTCAAACGGCCGGTAGCGCTTTGTTTTAAAACTACGATGGACTAACGAACTAAGTGTAGAAATCAATTTTCAAACATGCCATGCATGACATAATGACAAATTTTATCGAACCTCTTGTGTCCCTTGAACCTTATATACGCAAATACAACCTTATATGAGGGCCTGCATGGGGGGGGGGGTCCCGTCAATGCTCTACGTTGAATTTGGAAACCGCTCGATTACGCTTTACGATAAATTCCAACTGGCTACAACGCATTACGTAGAATTAAAACGGCGAATACGCTCTACGCAAAATGTGCCAACTACATTTTGTACGCTCTACGTTGAATTAGAGCGGTCCGGCTACATTCTACGTAGAAATAAAACAGCCGATTACGCTCTACGGAAAAGGGCTTGCGGGCCCCCTTATATGAGATGTTCTGCCGAGGTGCTATGCACAATACATTATAGGTTTTGCAGTATGTTCTGCCAAAGTGCTCTCCAGACATGTGATATTCTTACAGTGACAGTGATCCTAACGCTGTCCTGTTCCCCTGCAGGAATGGAGGAGAACCAGATCTCAGTTCTGCGGCTGTTGTTAGCCCTGCTGCCCGTCCCCAACAGAGACACCCTGTACGCCCTGCTACAATTCCTGGCTGTGGTCAACCGACACTCCCAGGACTCCGTGGACCAAAATGGACAGGAGGTACATTGTAAATACAGAAAAAAAAAGTAGAAAGGCTGGCATTTGCTTGTGAGCAAATACAGCATATTTCAGTCCATTTAATCCCTCCCCAGTTCAAAATGGACTGTTCCATAACAACCTTTTCCATCCAGTATCAAGTATTTCAATACTTTTGTAACAATTGTTCTCCAAACCCCCAAACAGTGCTTTTCAGTGTTAATAAACCCCCATGTAGTTCTTTTCATCAAAGAATAATTTTCAAAAACCCCAATATTGACTCAGTGGACCAAAATGGACAGGAGGAAAACACAGAAATAAATAAATCCTAGTTCTGTCATTGGTGGAATTTTGCTGCTCATTTGCTGCTCATGGAGCAACAAAAACTTTGCCCAATAGATCGATCATCTTTGAGACAAAAAATGGTATGTTAAAATATGGAAAGGAATAAACTAAGCATAGTCTGCCAGGAAAATCTGCCCCTCAAAATGCAAGAAATAGTGTTTAAGGGGGTTGAGGTTTCAAATTTTCCAGGAGAGCATGTGCTTCCAGACCCCCTAGGATTGTCACACCTTTGTCACAATATCTTGTGCCTTTGGTACTCAACATAATGTTATGTCAAACAAAATTGTGATGCTGGAAAAAAAATTAAGGCTGCCGAGAACACTCCCACAGAGTACTTTTTAAAGATCATATAACTAAATGTACATGTACTTCAAGAGTTAATCATGATACAATGTAGATAATAAAGATGTTGCATTATCTTGTCTTGACTTGTCTGACTTTTGTTCCTTCTTTGACTTACAAAAATTTGTCTTCACTTTATTTGCATATCAGTCAATAGTTTGTGCTTATAAACCTGCATTTCCCCTCTGGTCTCTCAGTTACTGACGAAAGCTAGTGGATACTAGCTGAAACGTCTGACGTTTTCAAAATCATATCCAGTTGCTTGAGTAACTGCTTTTTGGCGTTAAGATGTTGAACTTTTCCTTCATCTGTAGGTGCCGGGAAACAAGATGGACTCACACAACCTGGGCACGCTGTTCGGTCCGAATATCCTGTACCGTGACCGGGATCCCAACCCCAGCGACGGGGACGCAGCCAACAGGGTGGACGAGCAGCGAGATGTCATCCAGGTCATAAAGTTCATGATCGAAAACCACGAGAAACTCTTCAAGGTACAACATAGTACATTGTCAAGTTCAAACCCTCCTTAATACTAACAGCCTCCAGTTTAATTCTGGACTTCCAGTTTAATTTTACATCTAGATGGGCTAAATCATATAGGTAAAAATGATGTAAGAAATACATGGCATCCATCTAGAACCCCTTGGGGATTAACTAAATTCTGCAGAATTCTGGAACTGGAGCCAGAATTCTGGGAACTGAAGCCAGAATTCTGGGAAGAATTCTACAGAATTGTGTTAATCCCCAAGGGGTCCTTGGTGGCTGCCACATATTTCTTACATCATTTTTACCTATAGTTTACGATATTAGCCCATCTAGATGTAAGGTTGCTGAGATATGGGAATTAGTCCGGAATTAAACTGGAAGTCCAGAATTAAACTGGAGGCTGTTTACTGTATTTGAGTTGAAGGAAAGGGGAAATAGCTGAATTAAAGGTTTGAAGTAAGTCAACAGCACCTCCTAGCTGTCAAGTCTAAATCTGCAGTCAAAAGAAAGCAAGAAGTAGACACATTCTTTCTCAATGACAAGCACCAAGACTTTACTTTTTCTCACTTATAGTATGAAATTGAATCGTTTTACCTCCAGGTTCCTGGTCTGCTATATGATGAGGTTCTTCAAAACTTACTGGAAACTGACCCAGAGGCACTGGACATCATACTGAAGAGGAAGTGTCAGAGCATGGAGTAAGTTCCTTAAATATTTAGGTTCAACTGTTGTTAACATAATAACGTGCATTATCTATTTTGACAGAACTTCAAAGCTTGTCCTGCTCTTAATTATCCTAAGTTTAAAACCCTTGTCCTTCTGGCATTTTTACACAATATTTTCAAATAATTTGATGTCCTTGTCAGGTCACAGGCCCTTGACTTTTTTTTGCCCTGCAGTGGTGTAGTTACTTCCGCATTGTTGAGATTTGCTGCGGTGTGATGCGTTGCACGAGAAGTACCCCCAAATCGTACATATACAGGGTGCCACATACTGTATGTGCAACTCATGTATACATGTATATGGGCTCCGCAGGACAAGGGTCAAGACGTATGTTGGGAGGGGCATGAATATACATGTGTAGACTAACATATGTATTACTGTTCTTCCCCAGAGCTCCGATGGACCTGGACACTGCTGGCAGTGTGTTTGATGACAACGAGATGTCCAGTCTGCAGAGTTCCCCGCGAGAGGGCGCCGACACCAGACGGCTACACCACCTCAGCGAGCCGTCGCCTCCGAACATCACCCACCAGATCATCAGCCGCGTGCACAGCAGTCCCGTCGTAACCAACGACCTGCCGATCTACGGGAGCCGGCTCCTGCACCCCAGCCACCGCCGGAGCTTCAAGACGGCGCCGAGCCACAGCTGGGAGCGCTCGGACTCCATCAAGTCGGACTGCCTCCCGGCGCGGGAAAGCCAGTCCAGCTTCTACTCCAGCGGTTACTCCAGTCCCAACGTTAGCCGACAGGTTTCCTACGACTACAACATCAGCGGGAGTAACCTGTCCATGTCTGGTAGCAACTTGTCCATGTCGGGTATGAGACCGGCGCCGATCGTTGCCACCCCGCCGGAGAGCCCATCCCCGAACAGTCCCCGCAGACTGGCGGGGCTGGTGAACCAGGCGTTCCAAATGCCTGCCCACGAGAAACGTCCGCGAGACCTCAGCATCAGTACCGTGAGCAGCGACATGTCCCTTTCGTCCTCCGTCAACAACAGTCCGCTAGGAAATAGTCCCGTGAGCCCGAAAGGCCCGGCGGCCCCATGGGGTCTAAGCCTGAGCGGGCCGGTGGTGTTGCCATCACACGCAGCACACACGCTGACTCCGCCCCACTCACCAAGGTTAACAGAAGGCCCGAGGCTTCTAAACAACAACGTGGTACCGAGTAACAATGTCCTACAGACCAGACGGGAGGCCGGACAGACTGATGCACAGATTCAGAGAGAGCTTTGGCAACAGTGGGAGAAGGTAGCCATTCACGACGCCGGGGATAAGGAACAGGAGACTTTGGTGTAGCTTGAGTCTTCAAATCTGCAATGGAATTTATTTGGTTAGTGCACTCAATAGGCATATACCTGTACATGTACCTGTAAGCGCCAAACTCTACGAGAGCCTAATTTTACCATGTATGTAATGAGCACTGATAACAACCTTGTACGTGTTTTTTACGTCTTGAAGAAGATGGCAGTACAATGTACTTATGAACCAGTGCAGACCAAAAGGGGCAAGAAAAAGACTTTCAAGAAGTCTGTGACATTATTGAGCAAGACTGCCATAAGGGATCAAATTACAACTTGCACTGAGTGTAGCAACTATAGAAGCACACAAAGGGAACAAAATTGGTGACTGTTTGAGATGACTATAGATATCACTAGTTATACTAATTTATCAACATCTATGTTGATATAAATCTGTAATGTAGGTATAACAACACTACATTTTGGCTCTTTGTGCATTACCTTTGCTGGTACTTGGTCCGGGTGCAATGTGTGTTGGAATGTGGTAGTAATACTGTACTGGTGTCTATGGTACCTGCAGTGATTTTTGCTGGCTTATACACATATGTACCAGTATTTATTGGATGGTTACAGTGTACTTTGACAGCCTAGTTCTTCTTATAGTCCAAGTGCGGCTACTACGATATTGGGTGTAACATCCACAACTGTACATATGTAAATACAGACGTATCTTATCATTGGGTAGTGACAATATTAGGAATATGTTATTTTTGCATTATCGTGAGCTTATCATCAACAAAATAGTGATGTATAAAGTCTGCTTTCTGTATTGGCCACCCTTTATGCTTGTACCCTTCTTAGGAATGAACAGTATCATAATTCCTTCCTATTTACATGTATATAAGTAATGTATTTCAAGTACGTTATTACATATCGTTACACGATATTGCCACAGTGCTAGTGTTAAGAGTGAGGACAATTAAATGCTCTGCTCTGTCAATATATGAAATATTATACTATTTGGTGACTTAATGTTTAATAGGTTGGTTTCAAATATTCACCCCTATGAGAATTTTATGAATTTCTGCACTTTTGTATATAATATACATATGTTTATATAGCAGCACCTTACAGCTTTGGTTGAATGGTATGCAGGCTTCTCCGTTTTAAAATATAATTTCCATTTTCAAACTGACAAAGCTGCCATACCGGTATCTATTATTGGGTTGTATCATACTTTTGGAACAGTTAATAGTGTTCACACTGTACTGGGAAACTTCTACCTAATACTATTATATCACAGTCAAGCATTAACAAGAACTATAGTATGCTTTGGAACCTGAAAGAACATGACAATGATAAATATATGTGCACTACAGTATTAGGTATCTCTGTGTTGTTTAGTGAAGTTTTCATGCTTGTCTTTGTGTTATATGAAGTGTTGTATTATCACTTCTGTGATGCAAAAATTGACCACTATATGATGTACTGAGAAATATCAATATCTTAACGTGTTTCATGTAGAATTTGTGTATAATATAAGACAGGCTGGTTGGACCATGTGGAAAGTCTACTTGCGTGCAGTTATAATGTTGACTCTGTTCTAATTTGTGGAACGGTCAAAGAAATCTTGAATGGAAGTGGGATTGCTGACAAAAAATATATGAGATTCTATACAGTGTCTTGTGTATTTCATCATTCTTACAAATGTTCTCGTAGGAAGACATCAAAACACATAGTTGTGATATTGCACTGTTACGTAGACCACTGAGTACATGTAGATACCATATACACTTCATACATTTCTGCTCTTCCAGTAATTTTACCCAGCAAATGATAACAGCAGAATTTACAGCATGAACTTAAAGTAAATAATACGAAACAAGCTACCTATTGCAAATGGTGTTCTTCGGGTTTACAAACAGTAACAAAAGTATGACTGTATACTAGTATGTTGCAATATACATGTATTTGGGCATGAAATACAGAAAAGCAATATGTACATGTAAGATCTTATTCATCGCACATAGATGTACATGTAACTTACACAACTCAAACCCACTTCTGAAACAAGTGCAGTACTCGTTTCGAAGGGGAAATGCACCTACCAGTGTGATGCCCAGCAAGCTGCCATGTTCAAAACAGAAGGACAACCTGTTTGGGTTCACACTGGTAGGTGCAAAACACAAGGGGGCAGCCACTAAGGGTATCCCTGACAAGAAGTTGTCAGTTATTATCATGGCAAACGATAACCAGGCAACCTCAGAGACAACAGGAATATTTGCTGAATGCTGATGTTCTGTTGTCGGTGAGGTTGCTTGTTGTGTGGCTGCCCCAGACTGCTTTTTCCCAAGAGCTTACCCAGCTTTTGTTTTACATCAGCTGTAGCTATCAAAAGACTGAATAAACCAATGAGAAGAAGCCAGTTGGGGCAGTCATGTAAGGGAGGGTTCACCATGGGGGTTGTGTGGCTGCTGTAGTAACTTGTCTTGTTTGCCACAGGCTTCACTGTTTTCCCTTTGGTGGTCCTCGCAACAATACTGTTCACTTGATGGTGCTGCACAGCCACCTGTAGGAGTGCAGGAGGCTGAAAAAATAAAGAAAATGGGCTGAAGTTTTAGATGCATAGCTTTACAGGCAATACTCATTAGAAAAGTGCTAAAAAATTTCAATGGAAAAATAGACAAAAGCAACCAGTGATGTCTACATTACCACTGATTTATTATTTGAATATCTACGTGGGAGGCACTTGAAAACATATTTCCCCTCTTCTTTTGAAATCTCCCGTTTCCTTCTCTCCTTGATACTTGAAATTCACCATCCCACTGTTGCATCTTCCCCATATTCCTTTTGTTCTCAAATGTCCGCACACTTCTCAACATCTTGAAGAATGTAGCTGTAAGCTTAAACAGTAGGATTTCAGATAAAATCTCACCACTGTGCCGTCTCTGTACACGCTTCGTTCTCTGCTGTCACCACGAGCACCAATCAGAAGGCAGCTGGGGGATCGTACGCGGTGTGTGGGACCGTGGTGGAGGTCGTACCGCGATAGTCTATTTGTTGTCACAACTTCGTGCTCAGGGATGCTGTTCTGCCACACGCACAGCCTTGGCATCTGTAGAACAGACACAATTGTGATTGAGTGTACTTGTGGTGTAGTGAGGACCTCTAGTGGGTTAGTTGCTAACTACAGAAGCTTGTCTTTCCAGCTTTTACCTACTAGTATTTAATGTGATAAAAGCCTTAAGTGCATTCTATCATAAGCCTTACTTTCCTTTACTGAAAATATATTTGCTTCTTTCCAACTAGAACAATACTATCTATTGTCAACACAATGAGGCAAACAGTCATACACAGTAGATGCCTTCTACCAAAACCATCTCCAATAAAGTTCTTGCAACAGATTGAAAACTTATCATGAAAGTTCATCTGTGTTGGTAGTAGTAATCATAGGAAAATGTTGAAAACAACACAACGGGTACACAGAGATAAAATTTTCAACAACCACTGTCGCCTTCACCAGGATAATTAATGACCAATCACTTCCGAACGTAAACTCGCAAGAGTTGCGGTTACAGATGAGGTGACTCTTCGGAAGTGATTGGTCATTGAAAATTTGACCTCTGTGTACCTGTTGTGTTGGAATTAAGTTCAACAGTTTACTAAGATTGAAAACTTCTTTCAGCTTGGGCCACACCAATTTGATTTCTTGGTTAACGGATTTTTCTAGAAAAATAATGGAGCGAGCGGGCGGGAAAAAAAAAATAAAAGTAAAAAAACAGGCCTAAATGTAGGCATCCTATTATGGCCCAAAATGGTACGACAGGAGCCATGAAGTCAACACACCAGGCTGGTTCAAAATTTAAACAATGAATTTTCAACTTTTAATGATACCATTGCATTGAAAGATGGAATAACTGTAACAACTAGGAAGAAAAGGACTGTTTTCAACTGTTCAGGGCAAAATATGAGCATTTTGCAGTTGATTCTGAATTTCTTTCTTTTTTCTTTTTTGCAAATTGGAAAAAATGAAGTGGGTGAATCCGTTAACCAAGAAATTAAATTGGTGTGGCCTTGGCAGACTTTCGTGGATAATTGTACCAAGCAGTGCCTAATTTACCTCAAAGGGATCCAGGAGTTGGAAGTTCTCCTCTGTACCATCAGATGAATGATCTAGCTGCAGCTGCTCAATGAAATCCAAGAGCTGGATCTCCTCCAGATCCTCTGTACCATCAGACTGATGATCTACCTCAATGTGATCCAGGAGCTGGATCTCTTCTGAGGGGTAATCTGACAACTTGTTCACTACCAGTAGTCTATCTGGCACACTGAAGATAGGAAAAACCAGTCTCTCCTCCATTCTGTCAACATCAGGACCGATGCTGTGTCCTGTCATCACCTCTGACATTTCATCCTCTGAATAATAAATTGACCCCGCCTCACTTCTTGACCAGAAGACCCAACCTTCACTGTTGACCAGTCTATCTGGCACACTGGGGGTAGGGAAAACCAGTCTCTCCTCCATTCTGTCAACATCAGGACCAATGCAGCTGTGTCCTGTCATCTTCTCTGACATCTTATCCTCTGAATAATATATTGACCCCGCCTCACTTCTTGACCAGAAGACCCAATCTTCACTGTTGACCAGTCTATCTGGCACACTGGGGGTAGGGAAAACCAGTCTCTCCTCCATTCTGTCAACATCAGGACCGATGCTGTGTCCTGTCATCTCCTCTGACATCTCATCCTCTGAATAATATATTGACCCCGCCTCACTTCTTGACCAGAACATCCAACCCTCTATGTCAGGGCTGTGAAGCAACTCAGCCTCCTCCAGTCTCTTAAGTTCATTCCCATCACCAGCAAACTTGTTGGAGGGTGACAAACAGACTGAAGCATTCACACTGACGTTGCTGCAGTTCTTTCCAGTATCACTTGGTGGCGCCGATTGAGGTTGGGTCACCTCAGATGCGGTCCTATTGTTGGCATCCTCAGAGACTGTTTCTCCAAACCTGTTCCTAGGTTGACTGGTCCAACTCTTCTGATTGTTGCCAACTCCTGAGTTGCATTGGGAAGCAAATTCTTGCACAGAGGCATCCTGGTATGTTGGTGGTGTTTCCCTCTCACATTCTGAGAGACTTGTGAGGAACTTTTCCATGATCCAGGTTGAGCCGTAACCGTCGTCCATGTTGGTCTGAAGCCTGAACATCCACTCCTGTGTCAGAGGGACCACTGTTGTACTGTAGTTGGAGGTCTTCTTGTAAAACTTCTGTGCCATAGGGACCATGGCTGCAGGGTTGTAGTAAGGGGTTTCCATGTAAAACTCCTGTGCCATAGGGACCATAACTGCATGGTTATTTTTGTTGTTGTAGTTGTAGTTGTAGTAAGCGGTTTCCATGTAAAACTCCTGTGTCATAGGGACCATAGCTGCATGGTTGTAGCAAGGGTTTTCCATGTAAAACTCCTGTGCCATAGGGACCATAGCTACATGGTTGTAGTTAGGGGGTTCCATGTAAAACTCCTGTGCCATAGGGACAGCAGCCATATGGTTGTTGTAGTAAAGGGTTTCCATGTAAAACTCCTGTGTCATAGGGACCATAGCTGTATGGTTGTTGTAATAAGGGTTCTCCATGTAAACCTCATCCTGTACCATAGGGACCGTAGCTGTATGGTTGTGATTGAAACCTCCTTGGTTATAGTATGGGGTTTCAATGCAAGACTCCTCCTGGAAGAAGTACAGTGTGTCATCTTCTCCCATCTGAAACACAAAGCTTCAAATCACACACTGCGCCCTTTTTTATTTATTCTATTTATTTATTTTGGCTTACAAAGAAGCCAGGGTGTCCCAACTAGTCAAAGACTAAGGGACACCCTGGGGGAAAAATGAAAATTGTCAGACATACATGGGAATACATGTTACAGATTACATACTTAGTGAGATATACAGTTATATACAATTATAGTGCAATAATATAAACATACATTTTTTAAAAATACAATAATACAATGGTAGAGTCCTAGTATATACATGGTTGTTGAGGTAATATGTTAATCGGTTATGATACAGATGTAATATTTTAAACAGAATATGGATCCCAAGGGATTTCCATACTTTGCCCTTGGCCCCTTAACTATGTTTTCTGACACAAGTCAATACTTGTCAATAGTTGTCTATTTGTTAACTGTGCAATATTTGTTTCTCTGTTTTTAAATACTAGCATACAATTCAGCGCTACTTTTTAGTTGCGCTGCCACATGCTAGAGATTGTACCCATCGATCAATCAATGAACAATTATTATTAATACAACAATTTCAATTACACACATGTACCAAACTTATAAAAGATGTATTCTTCTACGTACTAAGTTACTTAGTAAGTAGTTGGCCCTGTACAGAGGATGTTGGTTCGTATTTTTTACTCCTGATCAACACGTGGCTTTCACATATTCAAGCAACTGTGTTGGTCTGTCTCGGCACTGACTATACTCTGAAATGTCATTATTTATGTACAGTCTACTCTAGTCGGCATTACAACTACATGGACACTTAGTGTTCCACAGTATAGCCGGTTTTAACATATCTTAGAAAGTATGTTTTGTGCTGTCTTCCGAGACTGGACTGCCAATGATGATGTTTTGTACCAATGTTGCCTTGTCGCGTGTGTGTGACTGGAAATAAACTGTGAGTGTTGAGTCTGTTTGTAGTACTTTTTACATATCATATCGGGGAGCATATTCCCACAAAACCTCCAGAGGTATTTTACGATGTCAAACTCACCGGTAAAGACTGTTGCAGAACTTGATTTCTCGTCATTGTATCATTTTTCGCAGTCAGATTTAGGAGCGTAAAATCCGCCATGCTTTTTTCTGCGGACGTTCGAACCGCTATGACCTGAACTGACCCTGTGGTAAACAGATGATTGTCATGGGAACCAGTAACAACCAATGGGAGACAAGCTGTTTATGAGGATTTTGACCAATCAGGCGTCGGAATACATATTGTCAGAACTATAATGGCCAATCGGCATGCGTCTAACATTTTCGTTAGACTGTTCGCTTTTTACCAGTGTCAGACAAGTGAAACTATCATCTGTTATCTACTACTGGATAAATTACGGAGATAATTTCAGGACGTTTCGAGTGACATTCACCACTCTTCTTCGGCATTTATCCAGTAGCAGAGCTTGAATTCCCTAGGAGTAACGTTATTGTTTACCTGGATGTCTGACGTTCATCAACATATTATCTGGAGAATCCTCAAAACGAGCCACAAAAGAGACGTACAAAATGTACAATCTACGTCTCGTCTGCTTGAAGAACACATTGGATGGCTATGCGCTACCAAGGCCAGGCTGGCCAGGCACACGCACGCTGCACTTACGCCATCTAGTGGTTTTTGTGATTATTGCAGTACCAGATCGACCGTCTGTCTGCTCGTCACGTGACTGGAGTCCGAATGTTTGGCGCGCTGCATTCTGGGTGTTGATAAGGAGCCCATCAATGGCGGCCGAAGCCAGTTGTGAAATAGTTTGTGCGGCGGTTTCTTAGCAGTTTGGTCAGAAGTGGGCACATTTTCTGGCTAAATCAGGGGTTAACTGATTTCTACAACAGCGCAGCTATGATCCAGCCAACTGGACTTCTCAGCAAAGGACGTTAACTGCCTTGAACCTCCGAGGTTTTCCGGCGTCCCGCTCAACGGAGTTCTACAAAAAATTCTTGACTTCGCTGAACTGGGAGATTTCGTGGACATTCCCGATGTAGGACCGGTACTTTTAGTGACTTCTTTTCGGACACGTTTTCTATCTGGAACGTAACTTTCATGTGAAATGGAGACGTGGGTACTGTTTGAGCCTTCGACAGTGAATTTCCCAGGAGTTACTGGTGCGTGAAAGTCAGAGACGGACGATATTTTGGGGGTGTGGACTGAGATGTGATGAACAAGTACGAAGTTCTTGGAGTCGTGGGCGAAGGTAGGCGAACTTTCTTTATAAGTCCCGTCTATATGAATAAGAAAAAAAAAAGAAAACAGCACAATTAAATAAGTGCCACTGTTTCGGCCAGACGATGCTGTCATAATTGTGTGCATTTTTTAGACCTTTTGAAAAACGTCATTATCGATTGTGGTAGTGGAGTCAGGGTGATTTTTTTTAATCCACATGAAAAGAAATAAAGAATGTTGAAGTCATGAAAACGAATTGTACTAAGAATATTGCAATATCAAGAAGCAGCTGTCAATGCATAAGAATTTCTTTTGCATCATTATATCTAATCCTCTTTGCCAATAGATATGTTTGCCCTTGTTTATAATAATTGTAATGATTTTTGTGATGTCTAAATTTTGAACAAAACACTCCCTGGATTTTATTTTAGGATTAAATATATATGTTTTGATAGGTCAATAATTGTGTATTTATCTTAGCCTTGCATTGGGCATATCTTAAAATTTGTGAAAATTATATGCAAACAATTAAAGTTTTTCCCAACGACTCTTCCCATTTTTCCTCACCAGGTGCCTATGGGGTGGTCCTCAAAGCCAGACATAAGGTAAGCATGTTACGGAAACGACAATGGAAACTAAGCATGTTTTTACGACCTAGCAACACTACACAATGCAGTTATTACGCTCATTAAGCAATCAATCATAACATTGCCATGCGCTCAAGGTGAGTACGTGTGCTTGCTTCTTTACTACTGTGCGAGCAATTCTTATTATCCATCTTTATGAGTATCCAAAGAAAGTTTTGCTAGATGCCTCACCATTACTGTGTATTAACCCTTGTCCTGCTGGCAATTTTTACATAATATTTTCAAATAATTTCATGTCTTAATCAGGTCACAGACCCTTGACTTTTTTTGGCCCGCGGTGGCGTAGTTACTTCCGCATTCGTTGCGTTTCGCTGCGGTGTGATGCGTTGCACGAGAAACACCCCCAAATCGTACATATACAGGGCACTATATAGATGGTACTGTATGTGCAACCCATATATATATGGGCTCCGCAGGACAAGGGTTAAGAAATCCAGTGAAGAAACTTCCCCCTACATGTATAGAGTATAGGACATAAAAGTAGCAAGAAGAGACCACAAAAGTTACACATAAACTAGATGTTTGCTTGGATGGGTATTGTTTAGCCTCAGGCCAGCAGTTTTGCATGTAATGATATGTCTTTTAATTTGAGCAGTGTTCTAGATACTCTATCAGTCCATGCTTACTGGAACTGATAATTGATATAACTTGTGGTTGTGCAATTTGACGCACTACAATCTCGGAAAGAATGTTTTTTTGATAGGTTTTTTTATTGGTCCCAGTACTGGTACAGGTTTCTGGGATAGAATACAAGACATCTGGCTAACATATGGACTCATCTGTCCAAAATTTGGCAAAAACCAGTTAGTACTAGTAGAGGGCCTGCAAGCCCTTTTTCGTAAGGCGTAATCAGGCCGTTTTAGACTTCGTAATTTGTAGGCAGCCTCCGCAAAAATCAACGTAATTCGTAATTGGACATTAGCCGCAAATCGTAAAGTCGTAATCAGCTCTGAGACTTGAAGTTTAACGTAATTCATAATAGGCGGCGAAAATTTTGTGTAATTCGTAATCACTACCCCCCCATGCAGGCCCTCCTAGTAGAACTGGCAACTTCGGAAAATTTTGTCTGAATCTTGTCAGAGTATGGAAAAGAGTTGACGTATCATGTAGTGCCAGGCAGTTCTTCCTCCAGTCTAGATAAAAGTAAACCATGAGTCAACTGTTACTTCCTTCATATTCCCCTAAGCTCAAAAGGCATTCAGGTTGGTACCATTGGGAGGGGGTGGTGAAGACTGTCCTGGCTGAAGGAACTTTCAAAGAAGTCTCTTGGAGGGCCTGCAAGCCCTTTTTCGTAAGGCGTAATCAGGCCATTTTAGACTTCGTAATTCGTAGGCAGCCTCCGCAAAAATCAACGTAATTCATAATTGGACATTAGCCGCAAATCGTAAAGTCGTAATCAGCTCTGAGACTTTAATGCAATTCGTAATAGGCGGCGAAAATTTTGCGTAATTCGTAATCACTACCCCCCATTGCAGGCCCTCCTCTAGGGTTGATAGGCAAGGGTCAGAATGTTTGTCTGCAGTAAAGACAAACTAGATCCTGACAGACTGAAGGTGAGGGTAGGTCACAGGTCTGGTCATTGGTTGGTTAGGCCTAAGAAATAAAATGTGTTTCCTGTTTCCCTAACTGACCCTAGAAAAAAAATGCCGACCCTAGCCTTTTTTTTTGGTGGACCCCTGCAAGGGACACAAATTTTTCAAGCTGATCAACCTTTTCTACTAAATTCTAGGTCCATAATCTGACGAGAGTGATAAAACTTTGTACTATCGGTTTTATAACACTGACATTGAAAATAAAAGTGTCCTCATGCAAGTTTTACTTAACTGTATTGTGAATGTCTGAAAGTCTAAAAAAAAAAAAAAAGAAACAGTAAAAAAAGATAATCCCTACCTACCGTCCCTGTTTTTTTGGAACTGAAATAGGAAACACAACATTTTTTCCCCAGGCCTTTAAACCTATAGATGTAAGCCATCATATGGAGTATCACTGTATTCATGATACAATTGTCAAACATATGGACACAACATAGTGATTAGTCCATATGGTTATTAAAACTGGCCCCATGAAAAAGGCTAAGTAAGTACATACACTGAGATTCAATTTCAGATGACAGCTTATCTTTACTTTACAAAGAACACATGTCGGGATTTTCTTTCTTGACTGTCTAGGAAAACAGAAAACCTTTTTGATTAAAACAGCAGCTGAAACACAATCTCTTCAAATTTTTCTGTGTTTGCTTGAGATGGCAGATTGTGATGTGGATACTGGGTAGTTACACCCTGGAGGGGAAAGTTCATTATTGATACGTAGGGGACTATTAAATGAAGCATTGTCGAAAGATTTGTTACACATATCTTTGATTTTTGTTCCCTCAAACTGATGTTCTTGCTCGATCCCTTATCCCAATCCCCATTTCTGTTGAAAATAATAAATTTCCATCTTGGATCCCCACACGTTATTAATGAAAAGGCCCTGAACTGCTGCCATGGTAGTTGGCCTTTAGACCATTTTGAGGTTATCAGTTTGGAGCAGACACAACTGTGCCTGGGGTGTATCTAACCTGGGAAAAATAGATTAGCTACAGGATACCTGACAAGCCAAATATAGCTGAAAGCATTTGCAGATAACCAATATTTTTCAAAGCCAAGTTTTGGGAACAAAGGCCAACAGTGCCATCATGATATTCATTCACAACAGTAGTGACATTATGAATGGTTGGGTGAATTTTACATGGAGCTTGCAGTACCCAATTTGACTTTTGTACTAAAATCAATTTGGGCAAAATGTTTCAGTATTTCATCATAAGATAGAACAACGAAAGTATTGCTTGAACAAGACTTAGGGAAAACAAATAAATTCCAAGTAATGAATGCTACAAATGTGGATAGATTAATCTACATCGAATATAAATATATTAATATTTCATTGACAATTTTCATCTCCAATTCTGTCCTAAAAATCTAGTTTTAAATCCTAAATAGCCTGTGTGCATACATGTTTACGATATCTAACTACCGAAAAATTCCCCAGTGTACAATCAAATCTCGGCAAACTTTGGTCAAACATCTGACCCGGCCACCTGTTTAATACCTTTGTACCTTTTGGAGGATATCCGCAAATACGCAACTGGCCGCGTATCGGCATGGTTACCCCACTGTACGTGACCATCTTGGCATTTTGGAAAGCAGAGCAAACAATCGGACTACCGGTAACATAAACTTTGCGTCTCGCTGCTCATAAACTTTAACACACACTCATATACTGTGTATGCAACGCCGCGCTCTCAATAGGCGCGAGTTATGTACCAATTTTGTACGTGTAAATATTTGTGCCAGAGTCTGGCAACTTTCAAGAACGGGAAGGTTTAATTAAGATGAAGTGGTGAATTGGAGATGGTGGGAAGATAGTTGTAAAAGTACTTGTGTGAAAACACCTGGTGGTTGTACCTGTAACACGTTTTATTACCCTCCGGGTTTTTTATTCTTTCTCAGGAATTCAAGCACTACCGGATACATACAATTACACAATAAATACAACGTTGTATATGGTAATATTTTATCGTTAGTAAGAACATTGACTTTGAGTATAAATGTACTTGTGTCAGGAACATTGGTGGGAAAAAAAGATTCCTCGTTTTGGGACTGCCATGTGGTTTTAATAAACTTTTATAGAATCTTGCAATGTGTGTCATGGCTTATACTATAAAAGAATGGTATATTAGATCTAAAGTAGCAACTTTTTTTTGCAATTGCCAATGACAATCTTTCTCTATAGATCTACTGGTAGAAATAGTATACTGGGATCACACTCATTGCTCTAGTTTTACCAGTATTCATGACTGTTCTTGTATACTTGTACTTAAAATTAAAATTTTAAATCTGTTAATTAACCAGCTTTTATCATTTTACTTCAATAGGAGACCAAGGAAATGGTGGCCATCAAGAAGTTCAAAGATGGAGAAGGTAAGAAATGTGATATTTAACACTCATTCATTTTCAACCTAAAAATGTATATACCGGTACATGCTATATTTTTAAATATGAATTTTTTTATATTGAATTTTTTTTCAATTTTTAATTGATTCTTAAAAGATTCAAGAAACAAGAATGGCAAGTCATTAGGATGATGACAATTAATTACAAAGTGTACATATGTAAATAGGGCCTTTTAGTTTTATCCCCAGGGCATTACAACTTTCCTTTGTTGGATTTGGTATCTGCGAAATTTATGTTTTGGTTGACAGATACAATGTATCTTCTTATAAATCAGAATTGTCCATCGTCTACATTGGAGGATGAAACTTCAGGTTTTTTTACCTACCCTTTTCCAGGTATCTGTGAAAATTAAATATCAGCATATACCTAATAGTTGTTTCCCTACTACTGCTTTCTTCCTTTTACTTAAACAGAGCTCGAAATACTGGGTGCATGTGCACACAAAATTGGAGCTGTGCACCCAATTTTTTTTTTCTGTGGGTGCACCAGTGCACCCAAATATTTTGTAGGTATTTTTGTACATATCACATGTATCAAATGTATAGCAGTATACAGGATATTCTTGGCATACAAGTGTCAGAGAAAAAATAAAATCTTTGTATCTGCGTAGATCTATAATTAGCTTTTGTTTTATACGGTGCACCCGAAAATTTTTTTGTGCACCTAATATTTTAGGTTGGGTGCAGCAGTGCACCTATTCCCAAAAATGAATTTCAAGCCCTGTTACAAATAGTTGTGCATGGATGATTACCTCTAGCCTGGACACCACCCAGGATTGTTTAGTTACCTATGGCGTGGATGTTTAAGACCTCCCTGTATACTGAAAACACCTTTAATCTGTTCCTCAATACCTGGAGGCTGAAGCTTAAGACACCGGTAGATCTACTGTGATATGCTTGACTTGTCTCAAAGAAAACCCCTCCCAAAACAGATCCCAAAACCCTGTAAACACCTAGCCATGCTTTGTCAACATTCTAGGTTCTGGTGGGAGCCTTTTTAGTGGGTTGAAACTCGAAATATATATGGTATTTTGAAGACTTACAAATTGCAGTATAATTACTATAAAGTCATTTACACCAAACATAGAAAGTCAAACACACTTACTGTGTAAACTGGCATTTAGGCCAAGGAAGGAAAGATTGAACTTCAAACTTTCAAAGCTGATATTTTATACATAGAATTTTACATGTGCCCATTTCTATAGTGTCATCTTGGTAAATTCTTTGAGTACACATGAAAATGTAATGCTATTATTAGGCTCAGAACCCATGATAAATACATGCATGTTTTGAGAAAACAAAGATGTTTTATAGAATGGCTTGTCTCATTTTAGGAGATTAATTACAATATCAAATTTGATAGATTTTGAAACTTTCGATATTGACTGTTATATTACGGTTGTGCATTCTTAAGTATTTGTGTATGTACAATGACATTGCATAGTTGAAGAAAATTAAACTGTTCTCCAACTCAACAACAAAAATTGCAAACGATATTGCCTATTCTCAATAAAAAGGCCTTGGTATAGAAACATTTTATTACCCTGTATTTCTAATATTTGTCATTATCTAATCTAGTATATAGTTTTCACCTCTGTTTTTGTATCCATACTACTACTACTACTACAAATGTACTACTACTACTACTACTATGCTTTATCTATAGCTAGAAATTTAGAGTCTTTAGAAACCTTTTATTGACCAGCCTGCCTGGTTCCACCCTAAATACTTTGTTGAATACTGTGGGTTTTCTGCGTTTGTGCGGCCTAAGTGAACGATGTCGTAGGCACAAAGCCGGCGCTCTCGCTTTACCGTTCTTTATGTAACAGACAGCTGTTGTAGGACGGCGTGTTATCGCGCCCTTTGTTCGCGGGAACTGCGGAGAAGTTTAAAGGATACCATTCTTGATGTCTTGGGAGGATTGGTATGACTGTAAAAGTCAAACACACCTTGCTTGAAATTCATTTTTTGGGCACCTAACCGAAAAATTGTGTGTACAAATTTTGGGGTGCACCATATAGAATATCAGCAAAAACAAATTTTTTCCATTTTTAAAGCAAATTACTACTATAATGATATCATTATTTTTCTGACACTTAGATGTTATTAGGATATGCTGTGTACATTTAACATCCTTGCATATGCAAAAAAAATAAATATTTGGGTGCAAATGAGCCCTGAAATAGTTTTGCAAATTGTCATTGAGTACCGGTATATTCATAATGTATATGTAGAAATACCTGATTAGTGTTAGCTCGCTGGGATACATTGACAATTGTACATGCTTTGTTCAAGGTACAATATAGTAGTCATGAATTGGCCAGTATTCAGTAAGATTGTGTGAATGAACTTGAATGGGGAGAAAAGTACAGATCTGATGTGTGTGCACTCTTGAGAAATGAGAAAATATGATGAGAAAATATAACAATCTTTAGGTTGATTGGAATTAGACGATATACATGTACACTAACATTACGCAAACTGTGCCTAAGTTACATGTCTATCATAACTAAGTTGCTGAGGGCTTGTGTACACTTGAGGTTTGGATTCTGAAGTAGTAAGTCAACAGAGATTCTAACAGAAACAGTTGATTTGTTTGCTTCTTACTGTATGTCAGTTGACTACGTACATGATAAAGTATGGTAAACTTTGGAGAGCTAATGCAAGCAGACTCTTCAGCATAGTCATGCTCATGTGAATGTGTTGTATTCAGAGAAGTTTCAAACACTGGTTCTCTGAAATGTAGGAACTAGGCAAGGGTATATACTACAGTTACACTTGGCTATTTTATACTGACCATACATTTGGTTACAGTGGACAGCTGGTCAATATCAGGGTCTTTATGCAGAGGTGGTCACTAGTCTAGCTTTGATTATATTGACAGAATCATTTAGAGCTTTTGGTGTCCAAATTGCCTTTGATTTAGGGAATACGTGTTAGAAACCAATGCAACCAAGAGGGTGGATACTTCTATCTTCCGCTACGCTCTTTGTAGAAAATCCCCATTGAGCAGCACTGACTGTGAAAAATCAATGGTTGGAAATCCCAGTTGATCTGCCAGGAAGTGTCAGTAAGCCTGTTCACAGCTGGAGAGTCTCACCACTACTGCCTGGTGGTAATGGTCAAATTTGGAGGTTATGCTAGGCATAGCATATCAGGGACTGTCCAGTATGCATAGGGAGGGAGGATAGCTGTGTGGCTTCATGTATCAGGGACTTACCATTACGTTTAATTGTAGAGGGGGAGTGCTAACTTGACCACTAATGCTGGTGGTAAATTGGTAATGGTCAAATTTGGAGGTTATGCTCCGCATAGCATATCGGGGACTGTCCAGTATGCATGGGGAGGGAGGATAGCTGTGTGGCTTCACGTATCAGGGACTTACCATTACGTTTGGTTGTAGAGGGGAGAGTGCTAACTTGATGGTCAAATTTGGAGGTTATGCTCAGCATAGCATATCAGGGACTGTCCAGTATGCATGGGGAGGGAGAATAGCTGTGTGGCTTCAGGTATCAGGGACTTACCATTACGTTTGGTTGTAGAGGGGAGAGTGCTAACTTGATGGTCAAATTTGGAGGTTATGCTCCGCATAGCATATCAGGGACTGTCCAGTATGCATGGGAGGGAGGATGGCTGTGTGGCTTCACGTATAAGGGACTTACCATTACGTTTGGTTGTAGAGGGGAGAGTGTTAACTTGATATTCAGCGTTAAGACTACCCCTTGGTAGTCTAAATTAATATGCTGAAAACCAATGACTTCTGTCCCATGTTGTCTACCTGTCCTGCCAAAAATCTTCTTCTTCTTGGTAATGCCAAAAATGTTAAACATATACCAAGAAAAAAAGTGTGCTGGACGAATGCCAGTTGGTTAAGCATCCATGCTATGTAAACAAAACATCTCGCCAGCAGTTGTATTTATTTATCCCACACAAAAGTCAGGCTGATATGATGAGACAACACGGCAAATATTTGTCGCCATCGACCCAGGTCCTGCCCGATAAACGTTACGGGGGCAGCGCCGCAGGAGGCAGCGGCGTTATTTGGACGGGAGAAGTTCCGTTTGCGTATATACTGAGCGCGTCTGGATTGTTTGCCTCACGTTCTGTGTGTTCTGGTCGATTTGCGGCGTGTGGCTCGCTTTGTGTCACAGCGTTACCAAGCAAGCAAGGATAGCCGTGCCTGAGGTGTTGATCTGAGAGGGTTGTCCTCTGGCATGGCCTGTTTACTATTGGGTTATCAGGTGCTGTGGACAGTCAACAGTTTATAAAACAGAGCACCACGCTGTGTCCAAAGTTTTGCCCAGTTTTATCACGCACGACTCGTGTGTTGCCTAGATTTTAATCCATCACAAACTCTTCCTAACTGATTTCTTTTGCCTTTACTGTGATAGGACCAAAAAGCAGTATAGTAGTTTGATTACGCTAATGATTTTTTTTTTGCAAACCAGAAAAAAATGAAGCAGGCGAATCCGTTAACCAAGAAATTAAATTGGTGTGGCCTAACTGATTTCTTTTGCCAGTAGTGTAATAAACCAAGAGGACCAAAAAAGCAATACAGAAGTTTGATTATGATTTTGTGGTTATATTATTGTGATATTTCAGGAATCCTTTTGTACTATCAATCAGCCATCACAATTCACTTATTGTAAGGCCCAGGGAAAAAAATGTGTTTCCTGTTTCCCGAAGGACCCTAGAAAAACCTGCCGACCCTAGCCTTTTTTTGGGTGGATCCCTGCAAGGGACAAATATTTTTCAGGCTGATCAACCTTTTCTAGCTCCATGATCTGACACCTGAGTGATAAAAACATTGTACAATCGGTTTTCTAACATTGACATCAAAAATAAAAGTGCCCTCATTCAAGTTTTACTTTGTTAAACTTTATTGTATAAGTTGGACCCCAATATAGATATAAAAAAAAAGAAACAAAAGAAAAAGATAATCCCTACCTACCGACCCTTATTTTTCAG